AATATTTTGAATCCCATGGTTCTCTCTCCATCCTAGTTCTTTTGTCTTCGTGTACATCAAATCATAACGTCCTGTCCTTTGAAATCTATAATCTCATTACATATCTTCTCAAGATATTCCTTTCTGGCCCTGTGTGTGTGGCTCTTTTGAATTCATTCCTCAGTCTCCTGTATTTCCTCCTGGTTTCTTAATTGTTTACATTCTTCCATTTCCTTCGCTCCTCCCTTTTACTCATTATCTCCTGTGTAACCCATGGTTTCTTGCTATCTACTCAACTTTATCAACCAAGTCACTAACAGTATCTAACATGCATTCTTTTATATTGTTCCATTGCACTTCAGCATTTCCGCTTTCACTTTCAGTTGCACTGAGTTTCTGTTTTAGGGTCTCCTGCACGCTTTGTCTTTGAGCATATAACTTCTCCAAATCCCATCTAGGTCTCCGCTTTTGGAATCTTATAATTTTCTTCAACCTGGTTCGAAACTTGGCAACCAGTAAGTTGTGGTGAGAGTCAATATCTGCCCCAGGCAGCGTCTTAACATCCTTCACACTGTTTCTGAATTGATGTTTCACAAGGTTGTAGTCCAGCTGATGCTGCCTCCAATCCCCAGGTGCCTTCCATGTGTAAAGTCTTCTCTTTGGCTTCTTGAACCAAGTGTTGGTAACAATCAGTCCATGTCTTTCACAAAAGTCAATAAGCATTTGACCCCTGTGATTCCGTCTTCCTAGTCCATGTGATCTAACAATATTCTGATATGATTCATCTCCAACAATGCTATTCCAGTCTCCTAATATGATGCTGTTTGTGTCACCTCTTCCATCTTCCTGAAGAATTTCTTCAGTTGTGTCGTACACTTTTTCCACTTCATCATCTTCATACTCTGATGTTGGCATGTACACTTGCATAATCAGTATATCTACCAGTTCCGCCTTTAACTTCAGAGCAATAATTCTGTCATTACAAACAATCTTCTTAACAACACTCCTCACTACACTTTTATTCACCACTATTGCCACACCTCTTTCAGCCCATTCACCTCCAGAATAATACACTGTATAATCACCACTTCTTATTTCACCTTGTCCTTTCTACTGCACTTCACTGACACCTAAAACAGACACCTCATTCTTCTGCATTTCCATGTTCTAGTCTTGTAGCCGTGATGTTCCTTCTGATCTTCGCACTTTTTCTTGTCATAATGCCTGCATGA